CGGCCCGGTGGAGCCATGACGTCACCGCCGCCGCCGGTCCCGCCCCGGTCCCGGTCCCAGCCCCGGCCATGCCGTCCCGGCCCCGGCCCTGCCGTAGCCCCCGGTGAGTCCGGTCGCTCCGCGGCGAGGGGCAGGCGGGGGGACCGGGGGGTCGGGCGGTTCCTCGGGGACACCGGAGGCGTGGGGGGGGACATCCGTGGCCTCCGGGCACCGTGGTGGGGGGTGGGGGTTGAGCCTGGGGGAACGGCGGCGGTGGCCCGGTCCGTGGTGTTCCGCATGTCCCCGGTGCATCCCCGCTGTGTCCTCGGCTCTCCCCGCTGTCCCCGGTGCATCCTGGGGTGTCCCCGCTGTCCCCAGAGCATCCCGGCTGTCTCTGAGGTGTCCCCGCTGCGTCCTGGTTGTCCCTGGGGTGTCCCCAGAGCATTCCGACTGTCCCCAGTGTCCCCTGTGCATCCTGACTAACCCCGGGGTGCCCCCAATGTCCCCATTCACCCGGACTGTCCCTGGGGTGTCCCCAGTGCATCCTGACTGTCCCTGGGGTGTCCTCAGTGTCCCCATTGCACCCCGGCTGTCCCTGTGGTGTCCCCAATGTCCCCAGTGCATCCTGACTGTCCCTGTGGTGTCCCCGGTGTCCCCAGGGCACCCTGACTCTCCCTGGGGCATTCCTGATGTCCCCACTGCATCCCGGCTGTCCCTGGGGTGTCCCTCACTGTCTTTCATCCCACCCGACAGTCCCCGGTGTCCCCAGTGCACCCCAGCTGTCCCCTGCGTGTGTCTCTGTTTGTCCCCACCACATCCTGACTGTCCCTAGTGTCCCCACCGCATCCCTGGCTGTCCCTGCGTGTCCCTGGCGAGTCCCAGCTGTCCTCGATGTGTCCCCACACCCCGAGGCCATTTCTCTAGCACATCCCACTTGTGCATCCCGGCCGTCCCCAGGGTGTCCTTGCTGTCCCCGGTGCATCCTGGCTGTCCCTGGGCTGTCCCTGGTGCATCCTGGCTGCCCCCAGAACAGCTCCAGCAGGGCTGGGGACACTCGGGGCTGTCACCCCATGTCCCTGGGCTGTCCCCAGGGTGTCCTGGCTGCCCCCAGAACAGCTCAGCGGGGTTGGGGACACTCGGGGCTGTCACCCCATGTTCCTGGGCTCGGCATGGGGACTCTGGTGTGGGGCAGGCAGGGGCCAGCCCGTCACAGCCACGCTGGCACGTCCTGGGCTGCGCTTTGGGCACGTACCTTGTCCCCACGCCGTGTCCCCACAGTGCCCAGGGCGGCAGGGACAGAGTGACTGGGGGGTACCGGGGAGGGGACACGGGCTCTGGGTGGCCCTGGCCGTGTCCCCACGCCGTGTCCCCCTCCCCACAGGGACCCTCGCGGGGCCCCACGCTGGGGGAGGGGATGGCGGCGCTGTCCATCTGTCGGGGCCCCCCCGGCTGTACCCGCCGGGGGCTTGGGGGGGCCGCGGGCTGCTCTTCCCCTCCAGACACAGCCTCACTTCCCCCCGTGACGCAGCCGGAGCCGCCGGCCCCGGGGCCGCTTCCTGCTCGGGGGGCAGGCGAGGGGGCACCTCAGGGACAATGGGGACAGCAGGGACCCGCGTGGGTTCGCCCCGCGGGCTGCAGGGGACGGGGACAGCACGTGCGAGGTGTGGCCGTGCGCCCCAGACTTTCCTCTTGTCCCTCCATCACCCCCAGCCCCTCTTCTTGTCCCCCGCATCACCCCCAAACCTTCCTCTTGTCCCCTCCGGTGTCCCCCGTCCTGCCGAGCCCCCCGCGGTTCCGTGGGGTCCGGGTGAACCGGGGACGCGCGGCCCCGTGTGAACCCCAAAACCCCAAACCTCACCCTCGAGGGGCGGGGGGCGGGGGCCACGGCCGGGGGTCCCGGCTCGGCTCCGCGTCTGCAGCCCCGGGGAGCTCCCCGAGGGGTCCCGGGGCTCCGGGCAGTCCCTCCGGAGGGTGCGGGATGCCCGGTGGGGATCCCTCCGTGCTCTGCCCCGTCCCTCCGGCGGTGCCCGGTGCCGCGGGGGGATTCCCGGTGCTTCCCCTCCCGGGATGATTGCCGGTGTGCCGGTGCCGTCGCTCCCGGGGGCCTCAGCTCCGGTTCCCCGGGGCTGGCGCTGGCGGAGCCGCGCACCGGGGGAGGCGGCGGCTCCATCCCGGCTCCTCCCCGGCCGCGGCGGGAAGGCGGAGCCGCCGCCGCCGCCTCCCAACAATAGCGCGGCCGGGCCGGGCCGGGATGGAAACGCCGCCGTCGCCGGGACCGGCCCCAGGGCCGCTCTGAGCCGCGACCGGCGGCGCCACCGGGAGCCCCGGGCGTGAGTACGGACCTGGACCGGGGCTCAGCGCGGGGACGCAGCGGCACCGGCGGCGGGGGAAGCCCGGGGTGGAGCGGGGGGTGTGCGGCGCTGGGGGGGGCCCGTCTGAACGCCGGGGGTCCTGTGCACCGGGGCTGCGCATCCCGGTGTCCCGGAGCTGGGGTCAGCCCCGGGGGTGCTGCGTGTTCCGGTAGCCCGGAGGTGCTGCACATCCCGGTGCCCCGGGGCTTGTGCCGGTTCCGGTCCCGGTGGTGCTGCACATCCTCGTGACCCTGTGCCGGTGGCGGCCCCGGCCCTTGGGGCACATCGGTCCCGGTGCCAGTGGTGCTGCACACCCCGGTGCCCCAGGGCTGGTCCCGGTCCCGGTCTCGGGGGTGCTGTGCATCCCGGGGCCGATTAGCTTCCCCTGAAGCACCGGGAAGGAGGGGGGCAGCAGGAGGGGTCCCTGCGGCTCCTGGTGCCGGAGGGGTCAGGACTGAGGAGGGGGCTCCATCCCCCTCCTCAGCCCAGCTCTCCCTGGCAGGTGACACCGCACAGGTCCGGGGCTGGGGACATCCCACGCCAGGTAAGAGAGGGCCGGGCTGTGCCAGGCCTGGGGGTGCCTCAGGCCAGGTGCCACCGGCCAGGGGCCAGCAGGGAGCCCGCGGTGACGCGTGTCCCCCGCAGCAGCGATGTCGGAGAGCGTGGCCGAGGCGCCGGGAGCCGGGAGCCCGGCGGCGCTGGGGGAGACGGGCACCAGCCATGAGCTGCTGCAGCGCCTGCGGGAGCTGGAGGTACGCAGGGATGGCACCAGCAGGACACGGCACCGCTGGGCAGCTGTGGCCACTGAAGCCGTGGCCGTGGCCACCGTGCGGGCAGTGGCAAGAGCCAGCCGTGGCCAGTGCCCACACTGGATGCCGTGGTGATGGGTTGCACTTCTCAGTTTTTTGTGGCCCTCGTGCAGCCCCATCCTGCTTGTGTGTGGCACCAGGAGACAGAGCTGCTTGGTGCCATGGGGATGTCCCCTGAGCTGTCCCCTGAGCTGTCCCCTGAGCTGTCCTTGCTCTGTTCTAGGCAGAGAACTCAGCCCTGGCCCAGGCTAATGAGAACCAGAGGGAGACGTACGAGCGCTGCCTGGACGAGGTACTGGAGAGCACCCACACACACAGGGCGCCTGTGCCCACCTGTGTGCTGGGGCAGGAGGCTGCGTGTGCCCTGTGCCCCCACCCAGACCTCCCCTCTCCTCCCCAGGTTGCCAACCACGTGGTGCAGGCACTGCTCAACCAGAAGGTGGGTGTCAGGAGGGTGTGAGGGGGCTGGGTGGACGCTGAGGGGTCCTGGGGGTCCTGGCTGATCCCCCACACCCCTGCCAGGACCTGCGTGAGGAGTGCATCAAGCTGAAGAAACGTGTCTTCGAGCTGGAGCGGCAGAACCAGGTGCTGAGCGACCTGTTCCAGCAGAAGCTGCAGCTCTCCACTGGGTCCCTCCCCCAGGTGTGCTTGGGGCTGCATTGGGGCTGGGGGGTGGGCATGGGGCAGAGCCCCCCAAAGCTTAACCCAGCTTCTCTCTCCTCTCCAGCTGCCGCTGCACCCGGTGCCAGTGCCCCCAGATGTCCCGGTGACCCCCCAGCCAGGCTCTGCTGAGCAAGAGCCCCCCCCGCTGCTCCCTGGCCTCTGTCTGTCCCTGCCCGAGGTGGGTACCAGTGTTCCTAACCCCTTCCTGTCCCAGTGTCCCCCTCTCTGGGCACTGTCACCCCCTTCCCCACTGTCTTTTTCCTGTGTGTGATGGTGTCACCAGGCCTGTGACACGTGGCTTCTCATGGTGTCCTCTCCTGTCCCCCTCCCTGCATCTGTGGTGTCCCCATCCATGTGCCTATGGCACTTTCAGCAGGGTCCCTGTCCCTGTGGTCCCTGTGGTGTCACCTCTGCAGGTCCATGGTGTCCACCTCCCCAAGCCCCTCCATCTGTGATGTCTCTGGCTCCAAAACCCATTGCCCCAGATGTCCCTGTCCCCATTATGTCCCCATCCCAAAGCATCTTGTGTCTCCAGAGTGTTTCCAGAGTGTTCCCCTCTGGTACCAGGGGGGGCTCAGTGCCAGGTGCTCACAGGGTGACAGTGCCCGGTCCCCACAGGTGCTGCCACCAGTGCCATCGGGCAGCCCTGGCCTCAGCCCTGGTGCCCCACCCCTGGATGCCCTGTCCCCATTCTTCAAAAAGAAAGCCCAAATCCTGGAGGTGCTGCGCAAGCTGGAGGAGACAGACCCGCTGTTGGGACCCGCCCCGGCCTCCCCCGGCTCCCCTGAGCCCTGCGCAGCCCTGGCTTGGCCCCCCTGCCCTCTGCGGGGGCCGGGGGCTGCAGGGGGCTGGCGGGGCACCGAGGGCAGCCCCTGCTCCTCTCCCGAGGAAGCGGGGCCGCCGCGGGGGGCTCTGCTCAGCGCCTTGGCCGAGCGGCTGCTGCGAGGTGAGGGGGGGGGCTGCTGCCGCCGCAATGGGGAAGCCCCCGGGGGACCCCCCCGGCAGCGGCGCGGGGAGCACCCCGCTTTCCTGGGACTCTACACGCCCGGCGAGGAGAGCCCCGAGGGGGGCTTCACCCCGCTGTCACCTG